AATTGTAAAAACGTGAACCTGGGTTCCCAGAGAAGCCGTGATTTCTAGGTGGGGGGGTGATTAGCAAACAGGTTTCCTGGTGCCCTATAATCTTTGTTTCATGAGGAACGGAGATGGTGCAGACCTTTCCCATTAGCAGGAGGGAGGAGGAGCTGAGGTGTTGCAGGGTGTGGGTTGGGTTGGGGGTGTGGGTTGGGGGTTGGGGAAGGGAGCAGATAATGGCACTGACTGAATGAAGACCCAGATGCTGCGGATGATGGAGATCCGAATCAAAACCCAGAAACTGCCGACGAAACTCCGTTGGTCTGGCAGCAGATGAGAGAGCGCAGCGTCCCACATAGTGACTCCCGACCGCTGCTCAGCGCCAGGGGCAATTAGGGATGGTGGATACAGACACCCACTCCCTCTCTGAGAACAAGCAAAATCTGCCTCTTTGAGAGACGGGACTTGAAAAGGCTGTAACTTCCGATGAAACTGGATAGTGGTGGAAGTCTTCTCGTTAAAAAAGTTACGAAAATGACTGGCCCCAGGCGAGGAGGCAGTGTAAAGGTGAGAATTGGATTTTCAGGATGGGCTCATCGCCAGCGGAAATAAGTTTATTTGGTTGTTCGGAATAAAATACCATTTCCCCAGTTAGCGGTTAGGTCCGTCGCTGCCTGGATCTCAAGCAGGAGGTTTCTGAAATGCAAACGTTGGAGAGTCTCTGGGCAGGAGTGGGACACGGGGACCCTGTTACACAGAGCAGGGTGAACCGAGCCTCCTGTCCTTCCCAGTCACAGCACAATCATTTGTGGAATCGATCCAAGGCACTCCCTTTAGTGTGTGACAGTCTGCTCTTGGCCACTTTCTCCCTCTCGCGGACTGCCTCCTGTTTCTCCTGCACGCTCTGGCGGATTGCTTCCTGAAAAGGCAGCAGGGGAGAGGGATAATCAGAACAACCAAAACCCAGGGACCCCACGCTCGACGCAATTAAGGGAACAAAAAGTGGGCCATAGTGAAGGTGTTCGGTACGCTGGCCTTTATTGGTGAGTACATTGAGTTTAGGAGTTGGGAGGGTCATGTTGCGGCTGTGCAGGATATTGGTTTAGGCCACTTTTGGAATACTGTGTGTAATTCCGGTCTTCCTGCTGTAGGAAGGATGTTGAGAAACTCGAACGGGTTCAGTAAAGATTTACAAGGATGTTGCTGGGTTTGGAGGGTTTGAGCTACAGGGCGAGGCTGAATAGGCTGGGGCTATTTTCCCTGGAGCGTCGGAGGCTGAGGGGTGACCTTATAGAGGTTTATAAAATCATGAGGGGCATGGATAGGGTGAATAGCCAAGGTCTTTTCCCCAGGGTAGGGGAATCCAAAACTAGAGGGGCATAGGTTTAAGGTGAGAGGTGATTTAAAAGGGGCCTGAGGGGTAACTTTTTCACACAGAGGGTGGTGCGTGTATGGAATGAGCTGCCAGAGGAAGTGGTGGAGGCTGGTACAATTACAACATTTAAAAGGCATCTGGATGGGGACATGAATAGGAAGGGTTTAGGGGGATAAGGAAGGGTCTGGTTCTGTCTGTACATCTGTATGACAAAGTCCCAGCATCACTCTTGATCCTCTCCTTAACGCCTGGTGTGGTTCAAGTAGGCAGCTCGCTACCGCCTTCTCAAGGGGCAACTAGGGACGGGGCAATAATTGCTGGGCTCATAAGCCCTATAGTGGTGCAGAAGGGAAAATGGAAGAGGAAGGCAAGTTAGGAGGATATTGAGAAGAGGAAGAGGTGTTTGTAACCTGTCGAGGAGAGGCTGGGTTTGGGGGGCAGGCTGGGCTACACCTGAGACAGGATTCACAACGGGACAAGTTCCTGATGATACAGTGAGGCCGTGAGCAGGAACTGACCGCACTCAGGATGAGGTTTCCAGGCAGGGCTGTCCAGGTTGGAGGGGGGTGGAGGAAACGTGTTGAAACATGGCAATTGTAGCAACAGAAACCCTGTGGCTGCGTGTCAGACTTGGGGAGGTTTACGTGTCCAATTTCCGATTTCCTGTTCAGTCTGCCTGTCACTCAGCTTTGATGTCAGGCCTGCCTCGTGTTACACACACTGTGCAGATTAAATTAAACTGCAAGGAGGCAGCTCCATTCAGATTCCCTCTCTATGTCAATTACACAGAGCAGGGTGTGACTGAAAACCAGCACCAGCCGCGGTGGAGGTGGTGGTGGTGGGGGGAGAAGAGGGGGAAATCGGGGACTCGGAGCAAGCTCCCAACAAACA